ATTATAGATTTTGTGTGTGATTTAAATGAGAGAAGAAAAATTGGAGGGACCTGTGCTTTCATTGGCAAAGCAAATTGAAGTATCTTCATAACTTGTTCAACTTAAACTCAGGCAGCCATAGCTGAGGCATCCATAACAAACAACTCCGAAGGAGCCATTATTGACATAAACTTCTTTTAACTGACTCCTTAACAAATACATCTTTAAGTAATCCTTATAACTTTTCTTAACTGAGCCATCTTTAATGAATAGTTCCTAAAATGTAGCAGAAAAGTGAGAACATTTTTAACCTACTTACATTAAAATGCCAGGTTTAAATGCTTACATTACAAAAATACTGAAAACAATTTTTTTCATTTTAGGTTATATTTCCTTTCTCATACAAATTGTAAAAACAAGTCAAGCTTAATTTTTCCATCTTCAGCTATTCTTGCTTTATGTAAGCAGAAAATTCTCATGAGGATATGTGGCTCTCACCATGCTAACAAATTCAAACACTAGGTAGCTTAATTTTTACTGAACCCTTTTCTCTCTGTCTCTTTTTTAAAATATCTTTTTGGGGTGGGAATAGACTTGGAAAAAAGACCATACAAGGGATATGAGTCTTGGTCTATACTATCTGGGAAGGTAAAGTAAGATACACAATTCCAGTTACTTAAATTAGGTAGCTGGAGTCGACATATCTTAAATACCTGTCCCCATATAGCAGGAGGTTGACCAGAGCCAACACTTCTGTTGGCTCCCCTTACTTCTCGTGAGGAGTACCAGCGCTGACGGGGAAGCTTTTTGACAAGTTCTTGTAGTGGCAGAGAGCAAACTTCTGGCCCCACAGAGGTATTTCCATTGACTTCATCAGGGCCAGAGTTTCATACACGTATCTTCAACTCTCTGAAGCAACCCCGCAGACTTATTGTTTGAGTATAATTGAAAGCAGAGTTCAACCCAGGAAATACAATCTCAACACATAATTCAATACTGTATTTTTGGATTAGCTTTAATTAACAAATAAAGCATGCAGTACTTCCAGATCATTGTAATTTTGTTTTGCAAGTATCTCACAAATTAACTTTAATTGTCCCATCTGAAGATGTTTTGAGCAGACTAAAACAGGGGTCTTAAAATAGATTTTAACACTTTTTCTCCAAATATAAGACATATCCCACATATGTGGGTTATTTAAAACACCTACAACATGTCACTGAATGTTAAATTTTTCAAATTGGCTATATTTTAAGGTGTCACAAAGTGCATAATATATATAGTGACAAGATAACATGGTTTAATTTTCATAGGACAAAGTGATGAGAATCAGAACTCTTTTTATAGGCATTTTGCTTTGCCAAAGGAAAACATAAACAATCCAAATAATAATTTTTGTCATATGTTTGTGAATTAAAGTAATTTAATCTACAGAAAATTCAATAGAAACTCACATGAAATTCATCCAGTGTGGTGGATTTAACTAGGTTCTTCGGATGCTGAAGGAATCCTGGCCTGTCTTTTACATAGTCTTTGCATTTGTCTTATCTCAGCAACCAATGAGCATTTTGAAGTCTGACATCTTTTCAGTCATGGAAATGGTAATCTTTGTTGTACCTCTCACGTGCTGCCAGCTGCAATAATCACCACACTACTACCCCTTGCAGCCAGAACCCCTTTGAGCTGACTGCCTAAATGCAGAAGGAAGGAGCTGTATTCTCTAAGGCTCTCGTTCATGGTTTGTGATCCATCATCCAGATGGTCTGAGTTGTCTTAATTTGTGTTAGGCCATCTGATGATGCATGTTCTTTCTGCCAATGTGGAATGAAATATGGAAAGGCATACTGCATTCAAATTTGTAAAGATTTCATTTGGGTTCACCGAGCAACATCATTGTTGAAGCAACGTTGCATGTGTTCATACCATTTTCATGTAATTAAAAAATGTAAACAAAGATTCAACTATAAAAGAAAATATTTCCTGATAGTCCGTTGATTTTTAAATCTAGAAATATATTAGAAAAATCAAATTTTAAAATTCAGCTATAGTAATGGGATGTTGTTATAAATATAGTATTGTACTTATGGAAGTTCTGGCAAACTAACCATAATTTGACTGCTGGGAGTTGAAAAAAAGCAAAATCAGAATTAAATTTGTTCTTATTTAATGCAGTTTATTCTGAAGTCTTAAGATATTTTAAACAATATTAATTTGGGGGTTTGCTTTAATTTTAAATTGTCTATCAAGGAATATTATGCTCTTGAACATAAGGACAGAGAAAAAAAGAGTTTAGCTGATGTTTAAAATTCTGGTGATATATTTTAGCTAAGGATTTTTTAAATTTCTAGAATAGCCTTTCTAGAATGACATTAGGTTCCCTCTCTTTCTCTGTCTCCATCCCCAATAAATAAATAAACACAAATCTATGATAGCCTAGTTTGAACTGAAGCTTGGGGCAAATATAAAAGTATAGGGTGATACTTAGGGAAAAGCCTTCAATTGATAATATAGTTTAATGTACATATATATATATATTAGTAACCAAATGGTGAAGAGTTAAAACAAAGAACTACCTAGAGGCCTCTGGTGTGGAAGTCCATTAAATTTATAGTCCTATTGATGGCAATTTATTGGTAGGCTTCAGTTGTTTAAGAAAGCTCATATAAACTCATTTTGCAAAAATGATCTTCTATTATTAGATGAAATGCCTTCTGTTATTGCCACTGGAGGAATAGCTTTGAATCAGGGTCATGTCACAAATGGAATTACTTGATCTCAGTTCTACAGCATTTAGCTAACAGAATTATGAAGATTATACAGACCTAATGAATAGGATTTGCTCTGACCAATGTAGTCCCCCTGAGATAACTGAAATTCAGTGCACTGCTATTCTCTTTCTTTGGTTGACATGAAGGATTTGGTCTTTAGCACAATCTCTCCCCATGGTTTTATGGGAATTATATTATTCTTATTACTTTTGCAAAGCTCAGTCTAGCTGCATTTACTGAGCAGGTTAGCCTTGGTGGGTTTGGAAACCAATTTCCCATTAATTACGCTACTTACACAGAAATCTCTGTCATTCCTGATGGAACATGTAGTAAGGTGAATGGAGTGGTCACAGAAATCTCTGTCATTCCTGATGGAATATGTAGTAAGGTGAATGGAGACAAGAGTTTGTAAAGAAGTACAGTTAAACCATGTGTTATTCGGCATACTCGAGGATTAGGGTGTTCTGGTTATCTGAGGGTCTCTATCAATCTAAGAAAAACCAATGGACAGTAATAGTAAAACTCAAGTTTTTAATATTGGTAGTTTTGTAGTGTGAGTCAGTTGGTCTCACATTTCTATTTTGAGTTAAAGATGATTAGTACTTCTTAAATAAAAATTATTAAGCCAATCATAGTAAACCAAGCCAGGCCTGTGAGCCTGAAGATTTGACAGTATTTTGGCTAGGGGCAATGCTGGTTAACAAAGTTTTCTGGTTAACAGAGTGCCGGATAACAAACGGTATGTCTAGACTACATCCCTCTGTCGGCAGAGGGATGTAAATTAGACATACCAAAATTGCTAATGAAGCAGGGATTTAAATATCCCGCACTTCATTAGAATAAAAATGGCCATTGCTTTATGCCGTGGTGTCATTTTGCCGGCAAAAAGCGACAGTCTAGACGGGAATCAGTTGGCAAGGAAAGCCTTCTCCAACCAATCCCTTATGCCTCATGCAACGAGGTTTACAAGAGCAGTCAGAAAAGGCTTTCCTTGCTGACCGATCCCCATCTAGACTGCTGCTTTTTGCTGGCAAATTGCCGTGTTGGCAAAAAGTGGCGGCCATTTTTATTCTAATGAAGTGCGGGATATTTAAATCCCTGCTTCATTAGCAATTTCGGTATGTCTAATTTAAATCCCTCTGGTGACAGAGGGATGTAGTCTAGACATACCCAAAGGTTTCTCTTTTGTCTCCTAACTTTAAAATAATATTTACTTTGTAATTAGTTCATATGTGAATGTGTTAAGTAGCCTATATCCTTCTATTCTTCAAATTGCATTTCCTTTCTATTCCCCAAATAAAGATATATTTTAAAATGTACTTAAAAGAAATAGTTTTAAAATGTGAACTCTGCTGATTTTTAAGTGAATTTGAACACCCACATAGCATTGTGGATTGAAGGCAGAGAAACTCTAAAAAAACATATAGTAATTTGTAAGATACTTCTTTAATACCGTGATATAAAACATGAACTTAGAATAGTCATTCCTGAGAATCATTTCCTTTGTCAATATGTTAAATTGTAGGAGAATTTGATGTTGTTACATGGAAGTTCCAAAGTAACAGATTCAAGTCAACATGTGGCATTCATTTTCTATTGGAACTTATAGTATAAATATGTAAGATCACATGTGGTGCTAGTGATAACTGTCATGGCAAGGATATGGGGAATAATTGTAAATAGTTATTCTCCATCTGGATGTAACTTTCTACTTTTAAAATTGTTTCTTGACAAACTGTAAACAAATATTAAATTGAAATAAACCATGTGGTAGAGGGAGAAGTAAATTATTTCAGTCGTAGAGGAAACTTCTTGTAGATTTCTTAGTCAAAGTCAAACTTAGTATTAGAGCACACTGTTTCAGCTGGCATATAGGAAGAGTACTAGTTCCCAGACATTTAACAGAAGACTGTCTCATGGGGTAATTTTATGTATTTCATTTAAACATTGATCCATCTACATTTCCGTGAGTGCAACATTGCAAACATGAATACTTATATGTTGTTGAGTTCCTCTAGTAGAATACTGAGCATTAGCTCCTCAGATATTTGGCACCTTGCAAGGTCAGGATCTTAATTTGGATGAAACGCCTCTTGAAGTGTCAGAAATAGTTTTCTTATGCTGTCAGCAGTACATATATTGTATTGTAATTAGAGCACAGTAATGAATAGGATAACGTTTTTCCCTTAATGCAAGTTTCCAACTGAAAATAATTTTTGTTTAAAAATCTAACATATATGCTTCTCCTCCTAGGGTGAAAAAGGAGATAAAGGAGAATCAGGACCAGAAGGCATTCATGGAAAAGATGTAAGTTGGTGGATAAGTCTATAATTTTTATGCTTACATACAAATAACATACATTTTAAATTATATCCTTCACTAGAAAGCAGAGACAAAATTGCTGGTTTAGGGAATATGCATGCTGTGTTGAAAGTAACAGTGGATTTTCTCATTTTCTGTCTCCATTCTATAACTCATTTTCTGTCTCCATTCTAAAAATGTCTTAATTAATTATTAAAGGCAGTGATTATTGTCCACGATGCCCACAAAGAGTCATCATTCCTGTTGGGTTTTAATCAGAATATTTTGAATGAAATGAAACTTAAAATGAAACAGTATAATGGAATGTATAAGTAGAAAATGTTACTTACATGAAACAATGAGCGTCTGGTAAAGCAGTAAAAATAAGTACACTACCTTATGAAAAAAGAGAGAAGGGGCTTTGAAAGTCTGTAGGGCTTGGGAGCTAAATGGAGGAAAATTTCAGGAGCATAATTTGATGGAGCATTCAGAGGTAAGAGGACAGGGAGCTCCTAGGAATTACTGCTCAGGTGCCATGAAGCAAATTGGAAGAAGTTTGCAGTTGGATATGAGCTCTAAGGGTATTTTTGTATGTGTTTGCTATTTGTTTGTTTATTTTCGATTTTGTGTGTGTGTGTGGTAAAGAGAGGTCTTTTGGAGTGAGGGAAGCGAATGCTGGATCCTTGATGTCTGAGGAGGAAAAAGGCTTGCTGGCTAGGGTCATAGGTTACTATGGGGCAAAGGAGGTTGTATTTGGAATTGTGGCGAGGAGTCCTGTGGCACCTTATAGACTAACTGAAGCGTTGGAGCATAAGCTTTCGTGGGCAAAGACCCACTTCGTCAGATGCAAGACTGGGCAGTATTTGGAATTGTGTGCAGTAATTAGTCCAGATTTTGTGCCTGGGGCTATGTCTAGACTGCAGAGTTTTTCTGGAGATATACCATAAAAACTGTCGCATCCAGGGAATACATCCACCTTTTTGGAACAATTTCTGAAAAAGTGGGCACGTTCTTTCAGCATCCCTGTATTCCTCTTGGTGAGAAGAAGAAGGGTTGTTCTGGAAGAAGAAGGTTTTCTGAAATTTGTCCCTTTGTAAATGGGCCAAATTTTGGAAAAGCCTATCTGGAATGTAAATGGGCCAAATTTTGGAAAAGCCAATCTGGAAAAAAAAAGCAGAAAAAGATCTGCAGTCTAGACATAGCCAGAAGCTTCTGCCTGCATTGAACACTTCTTAGCTATCTCCCCCATTGCTGTACAAAGTATTGCATATATGCTGGAGAAGTCAGCAAGATGGTGTTAGTACCTGCTCCCATCCCCCATGTATCCCATTCAGGAGTATCATCACTTCTGTTTTTCAAGCCAGCTCTCTCTTTTGCTGGGAGTCTGAGATCTCCATGAGGAAAGAAGCTGGGCATTCCTTTCAGCTCCCCGGCCTGGGACTGCCCAAGTTTGGACTGCCCGCTGACTCCAGGATCAGCCCCTGCCAGCCCAACTGGAGGTCTCCAGTACCCACAGAATTCCCAGCTGACTCGTGCTCCTCGCCTTGCCTTCCTTCTTGACCATGGATGTAGCCAGTCCCAGATTTGGGAAGTTCAACCTGTATAACAAATTGTTATTTATTTCACCCTCTTCGGTCCTTGCTGTGACTTCCTAGATTGGGGCAAGGTAGGCTAAGTTCTGATTCTGCAAGGTATCAGTTCTGCAAAAAGAAGGGAAGCTGTAATGGGGATTGAGGGCACTTAGCACCTCACAAATGCTGTCAAGAATGTTGCAGGATCTGAACCTTAATATATATGTAGCCAAGGTTCAGTGTGCTTCAGAGTTGCCTATAGATTCTGTTGAAAACTAGAAACATTACCAGGATCAGATGTGGAAGTCATGAGAATTAATTAAACAACTTTAGCCACTTAATCAATGAGAGATTCAGCCTCTGTGATATGAAAATATGTTGACAGTGTGTGCAGTATTTGCTAATAACTTTGAATAATAAGTATAATAAAATCATTAGCCCTGCGTCTCCTTTCCCCCACCGCACCCTGCCCCACTTCTTCTTGCCTCTCTCCACCCTCTCCCCTGAGCACTTCCCATCCTCGCTTCTTCCCCCTGCTCTCCACAGAACAGCTGATCCACAGTGGGCGGAATGCTTTGTGAGGGAAGAGGAGGCATGGATCAGCAGGATCACCAGCTGGCGAAAAGCACTGGGGGGAAGGAGGATGAAGCCCGGGATTTAAATATCCTACCAGTAGTTCCAATTAGAGAGCCTAATTCGAACTACCTACTCCATGCCGTGTATAGCCGCGGGCACGAGTCTGCACTAACGGGGATTTAAAAATGGCGGCGCCCGGCAAGATGCAAGTGAAGCCCGGGATATTTAAATCCTGGGCTTCATTTGCAACTTCGAATGCCTACATTAGCCACCCTAGTTCGAACTAGGGTAGCAGTGTAGACATAAAGCATTTTTGTATGCCCACTCAGTATATCATGTCAATCTGTCTGACCCTTAATGTCCCTTGCTACAATTTAAGCACGTTGTTTCCTGTCCTATCATCAGTGGTCAAGGAGAACAATTTTTCTCCCTTCTCCTTGTAACACCCTTTTAGATATTTGAAAACTGCTACCATGTCCCCTCTCAGTCTTCTCTTTTCTAAACTAAACAAGCCCAATTCCTTCAGCCTTCCCTCATACCTCATGTTTTCTAGGCCTTTAATCATTTTTGTTGCTCTTCTCTGAACCTTCTCCAATTTTTCCATATCTTTCTTGAAATGTGGTGCCCAGCGCCGGATATAGTACTCCAACTGAGGCCTAATCCACACAGAGTAGAGCAAAAGAATGTATCTTCTTGTATCTTGCTCATGACACTCATGTTAATGCATCCCAGAATCATGTTTGCTTTTTTTTCAACAGTGTCACACTGCTGACTCATATTTAGCTTGTGGATCTATGACTCCTAGATCCCTTTCTGCAGTACTCCTTCCTAGGCAGTCAATTCCCATTCTGTATGTGTGAAACTGATTGTTACTTCCTAAGTGGAGTACTTTGCATTTGTCTTTATTAAATATCATCCTATTTACCACAGACCATTTCTCTAGTTTGTCCAGATCATTTTGAATTATGACCCTATCCTCCAAAGCACTTGTAACCCCTCCCAATGTGATATCATCTGCAAACTAAATAATCGTACTCTCTAGTCCATCATCTAAATCATTGATAAAGATATTCAACAGAACCAGTCCCAAAACAGACTCCTGGAAAACCGCACTTGTTATGCCTTTCCAGCATGATTGTGAACCATTAACAACTACTCTCTGAGAATGGTTATCCTGCCAGTTACCCACCCATTTTATAATAGCCCCATCTAGGTTGTATTTCCCTAGTTTACTGGTAAAAATGCCATGTGAAACAGTATCAAATGCTTGAATAAAGTCTAGATATACCATGTCCACCACTTCTTCCATTTCCACAAGACTTGTTATCCTATCAATGAAAGCTATCAGATTGGTTTGACATGATTTGTCCTTTACAATTCCATGCTGGCTATTACCAATAACCTTATTATCTTGTAGGGGACATGATTTGTCCTTTACAAATCCATGCTGGCTATTACCAGTAACCTTATTATCTTTTAGGTGTTTGCAGATTAATTCTTTAATTTTATTTGCTCCATTATCTTCCCAGAAGTTAAACTGACTGGTCTGTAGTTTCCTGGGTTGTTCTGATTTCCCTTTTTATAGATGGGCACTATATTTATCTTCTTCCAAACCACTGAAATGTATCTTGACTTCCATAATTTTTCATAGATGATAGCTAAAGGCTCAGATACCTCCTCTATCTGCTGTTTGAGTATTCTAGGATGCATTTCATCAGGCCCTGGTGACTTGAAGACATCTAAGTTTTCTAAGTCATTTTTAACTTGTTCTTTTTTTATTTTAACTTCTAAACCTACCCCATTTCTACTAACATTTACTATGTTAAGCATCCCTTCACCATCAAACTTCTCTGTGAAAACCAAAACAAAGAAGTCATTAAACACCTCTGCCATTTCAAAATTTCCTGCTATTGTTTCTCTCTCTTCTATGAGCAGTGGCTCTTCCTTGGTCTTCCTCTTGCTTCTAATATATTTATAGAATGTCTTCTTGTTATCCTTTATGCCCCTAAACAAGCTAGTATTAGCTCGTTTTGTGCCTTTGCCTTTCTAATCTTGCCCCTGTATACTTGCATTATTTGCTTATATTTATTGTTTGTAATTTGACCTACTTTTCTCTTTTTATACAACTCCTTTTTAAATTTAAGACCATGTAAGATCTCCTGGCCTAAGCCAAGGTGGTCTCTTGCCATAATTTCTATCTTTTCTATGTAGTGAAATAGTTTGCTCTTGGGCGCTTAATAATGTCCCTCTGAAAAACTGCCAACTGGATTCTCATGGGACCTTACCTACCAGCTCTTTGAGTTGACTAAAATCTGCCTTCCTGAAATCCATTGTCTCAAATTTGCTGTTTTCCCTTCTACCATTTCTTATAATCATGAACTCTACGATTTCATTATCACTTCACACTTCATGAGTATCCTTAATTGCATTGGAGCCTGGCATGCAGTATAGTTTTTTTGAACATGCATCCCATTTATGTAACTCTTTATTTCAACTGGCTTTTTATATGGTATATGTTCTTTGCAGAAAAGATTTGTCTTGTATCGGGGAGCTATATTTTTACACCATATATCCAGTCTTTCTGCAGACCAGCATCTCCCACAGTTCTTGATGTCTGGGCTGCTCTTGTCTCTCTGTGACTCATTGATGAAGAACACTCCTCTCCGCACTTGCTTGCTTCCAGTTTCTCTATCTCTTGAGCAGCATGTGGAAGCTGGCTTTTACAGCTCTCACCATCATATCTGCCTAACCGGGGCGGGGAGGGCTTTTTGTCAGAATTAGGAGCAATAGTGAGCAATGCTCTTCATCTTGCCACAGGTCAATTTTGTAGCCAGCTGTTGCATACTTCAAAACCTCAGG